ACTTTAACATAAAAAGGCTTCAAAATAAAATATATTTACCGGTAAGTCACTTTTTTCGCCATAAAGAACCCCATGGCGGTTTCTCAAATCCTGGCTTTCGCGCGTCGAAGTTCTTTAGGATCTATCGTATCGTAAAAGTCACCTAACTGTAACTTTCTCTGTGATAAAGATTTTACTCGAGCCGTTAAACGGTAAGTTTATAAGTATTTCCAGGGAAACCGTAACACCGTAAACTTGCTTTAGCAATTAGTTGAGGTCTTTACGGATCTAATAAAATTCGGCATAAAAATTGCAGTCGTACAGAAATTTTAATTCAAATACGACGTCTTGAAGCTTTTACATTCGTCAATGAGATTAGTTTCTAAAGCAACGTAAGAATTAATGAAACGTAAAAATGTATAATTTTATTTCAAATATGACGTCTTGAAGCTTTTACATTCGTCAATGAGATTAGTTTCTAAAGCAACGTTGGAATTAATGAAACGTGAAAATATATCGAAGGACACGGGACCGTGAGGTTCTAGAAGGTGAAAGAACCTTGCTCGCCGGTGCATAATCGCGAGCGTTATGGATGAGCACCTTCGATGCAAATACGATCCGTAAAGAGCAATATTATGCACGGCTTTCGTTTAGTGTCCGTTCAATAGACTCGATCGAATCGGATCAAACCGTATCATGCAAATCGCGTGGCATCAATTCCATTGATGGATCGTGCTCGAGCTCGATTGACCTGGTACTCTCCCGTTTTATCGTCGACGGAATGGATCTTGAAGGGGTGAAAAATTGAAGTGTAAAGGACAAACAGTTTCAGGAATTTTTACAGGGAAAACAAAAATTGAACTGAATTAAAAATTTTAGTGGTGGAAGAAGGGAAAATAGGGAAATCAGGGCGAATAGGTGAAAAAAGGAAAAAATTTTTAATTGGAAAATTGTAGTATCTTAATAAATACATGTAGACGAATCATTATAAATTCAATTATTGTATTACTTAGAAAATACCACTTTTTTATTTAGTATTTTTAAGGTATTACCATGGTCTCACTGAATTAAAAATCAGTAATTATCTATTTTTCTCCTAAAAATTTTAAGTACTTAACATTCTCCGTCCAAGAATATGAGAGTAACTGTCTTCTTTTTGTTTATCCTTTACAGTCATCAGCAGAAAATGAAAAAGTCAATGATTTATCTCGCACCCTACAAAAACGTTAATTTCTGTTATTATTCTTAGCACTCCTTGTTTATATTCGTAAGTACGTTCGTGAAGTTAGCAGAAACAATTTAAGACGTCTTTCATAGCGTCAGTGTGTATTTAAATTATAATAACCGATGTGGGTAGCGCGTGTCCGTTGCTGTTCGCTTAAGAAAATCGAGCGTTAATTAACAAAAGGAAATGATCGAGTTGTTCGGTGTAGTATCAGTCGGAAGCGTGGCAATTATGTAAATCTTATGGTCATACAGTTTCATAATTTTCATTCATTAAACGCATCATTATCCGTCTTCCGTTTACGGGCACGGGAGAAATCCAAATGAAAAACCAGCGGCAGACGGCCACTGCAATTACCGCGATCGCGTGTTCTAAACTATTATCGCGCGTCAATAACGCTTCGAAGATGAGAAACCATTATCGTTCGTCGTGGAACAGGATAGAAGAACTTGTTGCTTATTTGAGAAATACAAGAAGAAGGGAAGGAGAATCGGATGTCTTCATCGCTATGTTCTCATAAACAATTAACACATGTTTGTGTGTCTTCATATTATTAGTTATACATATTAAATGTGCTAATGAGTAATCCAGTGTATTCTGTAAAATTCTGTGTTTATCTGAAATGAAAATCAAAATCTATCTAAGTTCTCTAAAATCCTACGACACTTTCAACGAACAAATATTTTTCAATGGCATTTTGATTTATTAGGTATATCATTACTTCCTTCAATTCTATGGGAATATATTTGAAATTCCGAATATCTTCTCGATCTTTTGCTGAGTAAACTTGACGTAAGATTTTGGAAGATCACTATGGATTTTATTCATAGCATAGACTCTTTGCTTCTCCAGAACCGAATACTGATTTCATCAAAGAATAGTGCATTACTTATTTGTATACCTAATAAACTATGCTGTTTATTTGACTAAAGTCAGTAAATTATTTCTTAGTATACATAACGGTATAATATTTTAGTATCAATACGATACGAACTATCAAACCTGTTCATAAATCATGGTGAACGGCTTACTTGTCGGTGACGAACGGTGATTTTCGTGTCGGGGGCAAAATCTGTTTGTTCTCAATGAATAAATTATTGACAGTACACTTAGAACACGCGAATATACGGTCGATAACGAATCGTTATGCAAACACGTCACACGTGGTCCGATGTTTTTCGTTCCCTTTAGAACCGATCTCGAATATTGGTCGAACAAGACTGATCTAATTAGTAGACAGCAGGTTCAACGAAACGCGATGAGCACCACGGGATGTTGGAATAACTATCGATTAGTTAATAAAGTTAAGGTGTCAAATAATTGGCGTACCTGTGATTGATGGACGGTAATACTTGTCGAAATCATTGATTACCCCTTGTACTATCGCAGTACCGGTAATCCCTTCGCATACTGATATTTCGTGGGAGCCTCGAAAGTGTGTCTACTCGCGTGCAATTACATATTTCACGAGGGCTCAGCCTGAGATTACCTGTTCTTTCGTGTACACGTACCTTCAATAAATTGTTTTACCACTTAATGTAGTGTTATATGAGAAAATTTGATTAATTCACATAAGTGATGCCTTGTTACATTCTGCCTGCATGTTTATGTGTAAGAAGAGGACAACACTGTCATTTAAGAATTAATTTATGCTTGAGAAATTGGTGTTATTTGTTTCGTCATGACACGATTCATTGAAATCTATTAAAGTATCGTAGAAAAGTGATATTCTTTCATCAGTTATTTATGATATTCAAAAGAATACAGTCATTGTGTTATATTAGTATCTTCATGCTGCATTTATTACTTATTAATTGTTAGTTTTTTTATACATACATATTAGAGACAGAGACATTGATTTAGTGAAAAAGAAATATAATATAAGGAATTTTTGTTTCTTAATAGCAGTTTAATAAATTGCATGAATCACACTTGGTTCTTTATTAACGTCTCACTAGGACTATCAAAGAAGTTCATGTTTTTATATTGCATCGGTTTCAGAAGTGAATTTGGATCGTTCAAAAATCAGTTGCATAATCAGTGAAAAATTATGAAGATAATAAGGAATGAGAGGAAAAGGCATCGATTAATCGTGGAAAGTACACTGAGCTTACCTGTCTATTTCAGCCGATCTACCTGCTCGTTTCTATAGCGATGTCCCGAGCATTATCAGCTGATTAGCGAATGTGACAGATGGCCGTAGTTGGTTTTATTAGATTATCGTCCACTTATTTTTAACCACGTATCCTGGGGTAGCGTTCAATCGACGATTCTGAGTGAAAAGTTTAACCTCATTGTGGTGAACGAAAGCACGCCCAGCTGTATTCGTTCTCCTGTGCGGTACCGTCGGTAAGTTTAAACATTTGTAATGTATTTTAGAGATAGTTGTTTAATACCAACCATCACCTTCTATATTTTCTTTTGAATATGAATATTTGCTCTAAATGTAGTTTTATTTGGCAATGTACGAAACCTTTGGGAAGTTCGAATTGTGAATTCTGTTTAATTAGCTGAAAACACGAATATACAAGTTAATCGCGTATATAGAATTTAGGATTATATAGTTTAAAAATGGATACGTAATAAAAAATGGTTTGTGAATAATTGTGTATTGCATATGCTATAGATGCCCCTTTTTATCGATAACCCGCTAGACACTGCAGCGTATAGGGTAAACATCACTAGACGCGCAACAAACCTTTTACTAAACAAAATTGTAACGATAATCAATATAAAAATTTTCATAACGTTATATTCAATTGATAATTTTAATCAGTTCTATCAGCAATAATGTTATTACGTTTTACAACTTATAAGCAGTAACACTTATTTTTCCATAAATATGAAAAACGTCCTCTTCACTACTATTCAAAACATAAAAACATAAACTGCACAATGAAGGATCGTAATAATAATAAAGATGATAAAACATAACTATTCGATAGCAGCAAAGACATTATGTGTCAAAAACGAACGATTTTAAGCCGGTGAAAGCGCGAAATCTGATTATCCATGCACGAGAACGTTCTTACAACAACAATTTCCTCGACACACCACAAAACTTTGTATTCACCTTCGCGTAAGATCCATAAAGAGGTGTAATCGCCCTAAAAACCTCTAATCTCCTAAACTGGACGACTACATCACCGTGGCACGCGTCTAATGCACACAGAGGGATTGGAGGGGAGAACGTTAGGTGCCCCTCCGTCGTGATTATGGGGTGAACTCTTGGTACGGTGCCCCATAGACGGCGGACCGCCCTTATGGAGGGGGCAAAATACCCCCGGGAGAGTATATATGCCCTAAGAGCCCCATGCCACTTTCGCAGTACCAAATTGTGCCCCGTCTGGAACGTTTCTCGTTTCTTATTTTATTTTTCTCCCTGCCGTCGGGTCATTCGCGCTGTGCTGTGAATACAATTTTCCATTATATTAAAAAATAATACATATAAATAATATTAAATGTGCTGGTTTCTGTGAAGTGATCGATTTGGATAAATTACACGGACCAACAAGGGTTGTTTTCCTTGTTTAAGTAATTCTACAGGTAGGACTCTGAGTGAATCTTTTTTGATAACATGAATAAGGAAATATGAACGTTGAGTGATTTGCGAAAAAATCATATAAAATTGTTTTTTATACTCGATTTGTGAATTTTCGAAGATATTGAATGGAAGATTTGTATCTGTAGTCGAAGCACGGGGGTTGTAGAAATAAAAAATAAATTTGGAGGTATGAGACTGTCCTGCTCGAATTATTCTTATACCATTTGTTTTTTCTTGCAGATAGCATTTGTCATGTCTTCGGAGTACTCGTTCTGCAGCGAAGGCGGCTTCGACGAGCTATCGAGCTCTTCCGAAAGAGGAGAAGCGGAAGAAGACTCGGAATACACGGTGCAAGAGCCCTACACAAGTAAGCATAGTTCCTTATACAATGTTATCGTTGAAATATCTCAGTTTAGTATCCTTGTATTTCCTCGATGAAATAAAAGCAATTGCTGCGACTCAAAGACACTTTATGAAAAGAAGAATTTGTAATGTTTCTTACAAATAATTGTATATTTTAGTAATTAGTTCCTTAGAAATAATGAAGTAACGATTCAATTAATTTATTGAAATACTTATAAATGTTTAATCTTTGCTTCCGTTGGACCACACTCTTCAATTTCCTATGACGTATAAGTACAAACTTGAATATCAAAATACCCAGGCATATTCTATACCTAAATATTAATAACATATATTAATGAAAACCGGTATCAATATTCGTTTAAACTATTATCTCACAGATATTCTGCGATTCCGTCTCTGTTCCTTTCGTTACAACTTTCGAACGGTCTACATACAACGTTAACCACCAATTACATTTCATATATCAACCTCATCATCATAAACTATATTTCATCGCATTCATCCCATTTCCTCAGTCATCTTAAACGAGCCCAACCATAACTCAAGCTAATACATAAACCAAAAAAAACGTGTCCCAAAAGAATCGATCCTCCCATCCATCCGGCTCGTTTCGAGGGGGCGCCCAAGACCACCAACATATAAGTAAAAACCGATTGAAATGATCACGCGTATCCATTGATTCGTGCGCAGGTGCTCAGGCTGAAAAGGAACCGTCGTATAAAGGCGAACGATCGCGAACGGCACAGGATGCACACCCTGAACGACGCGTTGGAACGGCTAAGGATGGCGTTGCCGACCTTCCCGGAAGACACTAAGCTTACGAAAATCGAGACCCTTCGGTTCGCCCACAACTACATCTGGGCGCTGTCCCAAACCCTAGGGAACGCGGAACCGGGCGAGATCACCGTGAACGTGGGCAACGTGACAGTGAGCATCAGCGATAACGGGAACATGATCACATCCTCGACAGGAAGCTGCGCGGTGGCGGCCCAAAAGCGACTCGGACCGTCTCACACGCCGTTCCCCTATCCTCAGGAGAGATTCGTACCCGAGTGGCAAGAGTACGACTGTTACAGCGACCAAAGTGTCAGCCCGCCGATGCAGCAGTACCATCAACCCTGTTACGATCAGAGGATGTACCACGCGCAGCATCAGCTACCTCAGCCCTATCACATGGGCCACACCAGCATGTATCAGTGTCTTTAGGAAATATCGCGAATTAACGGACTCACGGTTGGTGTTCGGGGAATAATCGGGATTCGAGAGTACAATTTTGAGTACTGAGAGTTAGTTTTAAGGGTACAATTCGCGAACGATGAACTTAATTTGTGGATCGAGGAACAGACGTGGTTGGAGAGTACGATTTTGGTACTCGGGTGTTTTAGGGTACAATTTAATTGGGATTGGACGATTCACTGGGAAGAATGTATAGTGAAGTTCGTTGGAAAATTGTGGAGGTTCACTGTACTTTCTGATGGGTGAAACTGGAGGAGGAAGATTGAAATGTTTCTTGAATACATCAATTGTTCGCTGTGTGAGTCATCGCCGCCTTGCGGTATAACGATGAACGGGAGTGTCCGAGGAATTGTTTCGGATTGTCAGTGACTTCGGTGTGACGACTGATTCTCGAGCATTTATAGGATGTGGTGTAACTTGGGAGAATCTAGTTTTTACATTTTTAGAGCTTTGGTGGTTAGACCGTGGAAGTTTATGCATTCTTAATATTTTTTGTAATAATATGTAACAATCGCGATTGATTAGAATATTATTCGGAGAAGATTATTATTACAGAATTTTATTACTGTACTAAACCGTAGAAAATTATTCTAGAGGCTTTGGTATATTAATAATTATGAATCCGAGTATCATTGAAAATTGAATATGAGTATGATAATGGTATTAAATTTTATTAATATCTGTGTTTTACTATATTCTTCAATTAGAAAATCTTATAAATGCATAAACATCCGCAGTCAATTGAAGATTCATTGAAGATTCGAAACATTCTGCGTATTTTCTGTGGTACATATACATCAGGGATTGAAAACCAAAGACTTTTCCGATAGTCCATATCTTGATACATGTGGGATAGAATTTGTAACACGTTAAGCGTCAGGCGATTAGGTTGCACCTTTCCAAAGAGAATTCTTTGTGCTTCAACAATACTTTCGACTCTGCATCCTTCAAGATTCTAAAGTAACAAAGTGCGCTGCAATTTGCAAGCAACACGAGTTCCCTGTTGCATGTGAATTGTACGGAATAATCGAGAACAGCAACGAGCAACGCGAGAGGTTCGAGCTTAGTTTGGCGTCTACGAGTGATTGTAAAAAGAGTGTAGGCCAGTGCGAATGATGATCGTTATTTACTTTGTAAGAGAGCAATTCTATTTGCAACGAATTTCTAGGATTAAGCATTAACGATAGGATCGTAGCAAGACCCTTTAGTTTCGATGTTGGCCCGTTTCGTTGATCGTATCTTTTCGCGACGGGATCGTCAACAGGACTTTCGCGTTATATGCATTTACCAAACACGTACTAAACCGCGTTCCTTTTTCTTTCTAGTCATCGATTAATTCTTAGGTTGATCTCGAGCGTTTGATCTCATCCCCCCTGTTTATAGGTTTAATTTAATTTAAAGCGTGCGCCTCTGTCAGTGCTCTTATCGAATCGTGGAAATCACCGATTCAGGGAATATATATTGTACAGAATTTATATCTTATCAATAAAACATATTTTACCTAACCTTGTTTCGGCTTTATCAATTCCACCTCGAAAACAGCGCTCATCGCAATGGGGAGTCATATTCTGTCTATTTAGGACACGCTTCTGAATCATGGTCGGTCTACAATTTCAAGAAAAGTTATTATACTTTGCATCATATACTATTTGGTTAATGTACTGCTTTCAATGCTATTTTACATTCTCTATATTTTCCTCAAGAGTGCTTTGTTGCATGATGTAACAAGAATTGAATCACTCACAGGTCAAAGTAACTAACTCCAATTTTCGAATTCTTTCAAATTTTAGAGTCAAAGGACTTGATCGGTGCTTAACTTTCTGTATTCAAGATAAATTTCGTTGATTATTTTTGCTTGCAGTTGATCACTTTGGCTAATGAACGGCTCAATTATGGCAATATAAACGTATAGGATTGAATATGCGATGACAGACGTGTCACAGAATTCAAAATAGTCCCATATAAGAGTCGGCTCACAGAGATCAAGATCCAGCTTCTTCAAATCCTGATGAGAGATAATCCACGTATTGGTTCAGCATTAAAATTACCAGCTCAGGGGGATGGAAAGGATACGCAAACACGAAAGTTTCGATTAAACTAGTTACCTATCTTACGAACGAGCGTGCTCGAGCCACTTTGCAGGAATGAAGTCCTGTTCAAGAATGAATAAACACGTGCCAGGACACGTGTCCTTTGTGGAAATCACCGCGGGACAGATGTATCACAAGTTGCGCCTGAAATTACGCCTGTCCGCCTAATCCGACGGATTACACCCGGAACATGACTTTGAAACGCTTGAAATCGATTTCGATCAGAAAAATCGACTATGGAACCTGTTATCCTGGTCGTTATCCGTATGTTCCATTTACAATATAATTCATACGCTACATGCATTGAATTTGATAAAGGAAATTGTTAACTTTGGTTATTTATATCATATGCATAATGTAACGTTAATGTTAATGTAGGATTTTAAATGTAAATTAGAAATGACATAATATTCATTTACGAATAAATGTTATTGCGACGTGAGAATAAACACTCGATAGGTTGAGATGGAAATTGCAAGACCGTCGCGTCGTCGGGAAAATATTATTTTTCCATCGTGAATACAACAGTTCCGATATTTTCATAGCTACCGCCCCGTTTGCTCTCCGTTTGATCGAATGATCCAATTCGCGTGTTTATTTTCCCAGCACTTGGCTGCAGCGCCACGACAATGAAATGCCCACTTGTTCTTGTTATGGTAATTATTTTCCTGCGGATGGCGGTGCTTCTTGGTGATCGATCGATTCCTCTTGGAACTCAGAAAAATCTGATCGATTAAATTTACCGTTACTTAATTGCCAGTCTTGTTGCATGATTACAGTGCAATTATTCGATAGTAGTGTTCCAAAATTTATTTCGTAAGTCTCTTCGTATTTATAAGGGTGAAAATGAAAAGAATTAACGAAATTGAGAAGCTGAAGTGTTATGCAATCTCCGGAACAATATTATTATTTCTCTATTCTCTAAACGGACAGAAATAATATTTTTCATACACGAAACGATCGCGCCAGTCGGCCTTTAACCACTTGATCAATAATTTCGTATACGAGGCCTATTTGCAAACAAGCTGCAAGCTGCGACGAATCCGTTAGCACGCTCGATCGTTTCCCCAAATCTCGCCAATAATGGTAATGCTTCAATGGAACCATTATACTGGCGACATGGAACTGTGTGCATAGTACGACAGACGGCCAGGAACGGTAAAGGTGTTGGATTTTGGGGGGATTCAATCAGTTTTTGCCGTGGCCTCTGCACCCCGCGTAACTGCATCGAACTTTAGGGGTGCGACGCCGGAAAATAAGAAATCGGGAAAACGAGTGATTTATTCGCCGGAATTACATTAATAAAATGCGGGCTCGGCTACCTGGAAATACGTGTGCGCGTTTCTAGATTTCCTGCAGATGATATAAACTATAAATGAAATAGGCACTTCAAAAACATTCGTTCGATACAGCTGGACTAAGGCAACAATGTAAAGAAGGTACAAGAAGCTGTTGAGTATCTAGGATAAACATGCTATTTGACATGTTACTTTGGAAGAATTATTTTACAGTCGAGTCTATTATGTATATACATATTTTTTTTTAGTTATTACTGTTCTGTTTTGTGATGTAAACAGTATAACATGTAAATATACATGATTTGTGTCTCACAATACAAATTTCTATGCATCAAAGATTTCTGCAATAGAACAGATGAAAAGACACAGTGTAGAAAAATTCTGAAAGAAATATTATATATATGTATAATATATTTGGACATTTGTAATAAAACTTTACTGTATCCTACAAATGGAATTAAAACGTTAATTCAAAGAATAACGTTCAACAAACCTTCCAACCTCATTCTATTACTCGAAATATTTTCTTGTAACAATGCAGACAAGTCTAAACAATCCAAGTACCTCGATATTTCCCGAACATCTAAAATTGCATCAATAAAAGGATATCAGTGTAATAATAAATTTACTCATCGATCTCAGTCCGATTTTCATACAATATAATAAGATATCGACAATTTTAATCGCAAGAACGTATTTTCAACTGGCAGTTCGTCGTTTAAAATTTCACCCTCTGTCGATCATCGGTGCACGTCTGCACGTCGAACATCGACGAACAATGACCCCGACGGGACATACACAGTTCGTCGTTCGGTTTAAACAAAGATTCATCGAGGAATTTTTTACAGTCCATAAACATCGAGCCGCTTGCATTTCCAGTCGCAGTGATTTCGCTTTGATCGACCTTTCTGCTGGGTCGTTTCCGTCGAGTGCACATATCGATCGGCGTTTCTGGGCCCTCATTGTACCGGGGCGCTGGTCTGTATGGTGACATACTGGTGGCTGACAGAGGTGCTCCCCCGTGGAGAGTACGGGGTAGAGGCCGAGGGGTACCGAAACCAGCCCCGAAGGAAAAGGGGGGAGACGGGTTTTCCTAATTCATGGAACTTCGTGAAATTACCTTGACCGATCGCCGAACACTTAATCGAAGATTAATGGCGACGCGTCCCAGAGACGCGCGGAAATTCATTCGGAATGAAATAATTGATCGGGTCCTCGAGCGAATAAATGGAAAAAATAGGGGGTTTTTGTGAAATTTGCAAAGATTGCGCCATTTAGCCGTGAAAATTCCGGAAAGTACTTTGACCGGTCACTGAACAGTTAATCGAAGATTGATGATGACGTGCGCTTTAAGGTAATGGATATGGACATTGAAGTGACTGCGAACAGAGATTCAATTTTGTACTTTGTGTGTCATGAAAATTTTGTAAATGAGCGAGGTGAATTAAAGGCTGGACTAATTTCAAACTATTAACTGGTATGATCTTCACTTAGGTATTTAACAGTAACATTTATGTATCATTACTCGATTGCCGATTTTATGCATTTATAGAATATCCGATCACCTAAAATTCTGTAGAGT